TACAGCAATTAACCACTAAGAAGAATATATGCAGTGTATTATTTGTTGAAACTGTACTTCTGATTGGATTTGAAACTGTCTCATTGCTATCTGTTTATCAATAAAACTTTGAAAAAAAAAGCCTCCATTTATGATCATAAATTTGTCTTCCCTGGCTTTCCTGTCAGTTTTTGCCACATGTATTTTGACAGTCTATGTTAGATGTATACATGTTAGGAAACTGGGGAGATAGCTCAGTAGAATAAGTGTTTGTCTGACAAGCACAAGGGCCTGAGTTCAATCCCCAGTTCCATAAAAAAAATAAAAAAGATGTATACATGTTAAAGATAATCAAGCCTCCTTTTGGGGGCGGGGTTGGTTTTTTTGTTTTTAACACTGTCATGGCTTTATTCAAAACACAGTTGCACAAAAGTACTAACTTCAACATTTTTAGGGAAAGGTTCTTGAGGAATTTAACACATTATATACATACTGCCATACAAAGAGCATTAAAATAGGACCCAAAATTCTACAAAATATAAAACTCACCCTTACTTATTTGCATGAAACTACCACTCACAAAGCTACGTAAGTCTTAAAAGTTATCTGGGGGCTCTAAATGTTGTTGTCAAAAAGAACTCTAATTATGATTGCACAATAAAATGATTGTTAAAAAATCAATACATAGATTTAGTTTTAAAAATAAGCATTTTGTACTTATTGATGGCATAGTATGCACTGCGAATTCCTAGAGACTACATAGGGCATTCCGACTGTTAAAGAAAAAATTTTTAGTCTTCTGGAGAGTCCAGGCCCTCAATAAATTTATCCTGTGTTTTCAGCCAGTTTGCAACTTTTCTAGTTTCTCTACAATAATTTCATTAATTTTTACTCTAATATTCCAAGTCCTCCATTTTAAACTAAAAAAGCAGCAGCAATACCATACTGGTTTAAATGTGTCCAGGAGAGAAGTTTAACTTCAATTTGTTGACACTTTTTAAAAACTTACAAATATTCAAAGAGAAACAATTTCAGACAGCAAACATTCCAACAGCACACTGCTGTGGGCAGGATGCCTCCGTGATGAAAGGGCAAGGGGCTCATCTCCTTGTCGGGCTCTGTACAGCAGCCGGATGCGCGCATGCTTACACTTAGTACAAATACTGTACTATTCGTAATGAGCACCAGCTTGAAAGTCAGTCTCAGTTATCAATTTAGTTCTAAATATTTTTCCACATTCTATGTCCAATAATGTTGTAACTGGTAATGCATTACAACTATAGGAAGAATAATTAAAGTTCTATTCAGAAAAACTATAAATACTTCACAGAATTGGCATTCAAGTCCTTGAGAAACCAATTTAAATTTAATTATCAACAGGCAACTGTCCAGGCTTTTGAGAAACACTAATACCACCTGCAAAAGCCTCTCTTGCTTCTATCCCAAGCAGAACCTGTTGAATAAAA